GGGGAGGTTCATGCATACTTTTAAAAATTGATTATGTTTTTAAAGAAATGACAGATTTATATATATACAATGAAGAAAGTATTTTTGAAGTTTGTAGTATTGAAATACCTATTTTGAATGTTATTATTGTTTCAATTTATAGAACTCCATATGAGAATAATTTTATAATATTTATAGATAAATTAGAATTGTTACTTTCTAAGCTACAAAAATATGTAAAAACTTATCAGATTTGTATAGCAGGAGATTTTAATATAGATATTTTAGAAACCTGCAGCTCACCCAGCCATAAAACTAGGTTTTTAAATTTAATCAGCATGTACGGTTTTACAATTAATTTTCGTTCTCCAACTAGAATAACTGTAAATACAAGCTCATGCATTGACAATATTTTAACTAATGACAACTTTGTTTTTAACCAGAATATAAGATCTAAAATGAACCTTGAACTAGGTGTTTCGGATCACAGGGCACTTTTTATTGAAATTTCAAGAAATACTGCACTTTGCAAAAAAATACAGTACAAAAAAGATTATTTTCAAAACAAAATAAAGCGCTTTTTTATCAACACATATCAGGAGTTAATTGGAATGCATTGCCTCAACAAGATGCTCAAACTAATTTTAACCATTTTTTCAATCAGTTGTTAGTAAATTTTGATAAATGTTTCCCTCTTAAATTTTACACTAACAAACCACCCAAAAATAAATATAGGAAAAGCTGGGTGACTAAAGGTATTAAAATATCAAGTCAGAGAAAAAGAGAGCTAAGCACTATTGCCAAAACGGTTCAAGATGTTAATTTTAAAAAATATTACAAAAACTATAGAAAAATATTTAAAGCTGTTTGCGATAAGGCTAGGAAAATGTTTAATTGTAAAGTTATATCATCTTCAGATAATAAGAGCAAAGCGGTGTGGAATGTTGTGAAGTCTGAACTTGGAGTCCTGAATTCCAATCATTTGGATTTCCCCGATTTGTGTGTCGGAGACAAGCAATTAAAAGATGGACAAAATGTGGTAAATTTTCTCAATGATAAATTTTGTAACATTTACAAAAATATAAATTGTATGCCTTGCTTACACACTGCAACTAATTTGATTAATAATACTAGTAGGCCTAATAATATAAGAATGAAATTTCAGTTCAGACATGTATCGATTTTAGAAATTAAAAAAACCGTTAGAAATTTAAAAAATAAAAAATCTTTTGGATGGGATGAAATTCCTATTGAATTAATTAAAAATGTCATAAACCATATTGCAGAGCCTCTGTGTCTAGTAATCAATCAATGTTTTGATGAAGGAATTTTTCCCTATCAATTAAAAAATGCTGAGCTGAAACCACTTTTCAAAAAAGGCTCAGTAATGGACCCTGATAACTATCGTCCTATTTCAATACTCCCATCTTTGTCTAAAATCTTTGAAAAAATTGCTTACAACCAAATCTATTCATATTTCGAAAATAATGATTTATTTACCAATAAACAATATGGTTTTAGATCTGGGAAAAACACTATATCTGCTGTCTCAGACTTCATAAATCAGGTTTCTGATGGCTTGGATGGGTCTCAGAGCACAGCTGCGGTGTTCTGTGATCTATCCAAGGCATTTGATTGTGTAAATTACAATATATTAATGAGTAAACTTAAATATTATGAATTTTCTGATATGGCTCTGTCTTGGATGCATTCATATTTGACTAACAGACATCAAAGACAATAATCGTAAAAAATGGTAAAAAATGTATTTCACAGTGGCTTAACACTAAATGTGGGGTTCCGCAAGGGTCAATACTAGGCCCCTTGCTATTTTTAATATTTATTAATGACTTACCTCGAAATGTATCGTCTAACCTTATCTTATATGCTGATGACACTACAGCAATAGTTAAATCAAATAATTTGCAAAATCTTAAACAAGAAATCAGTCTTTCTATTCTTAATTTATCTAATTGGTTTACAGCCAACGGGCTAAAACTTAATAATTCTAAAACACAGGTGATGTTATTTCAAACAATTCAGAATAGGCAAAACTCCACTGTTGAATTATCTTATGATAATAATATTATATCCTTTACTGAAAATGCAAAATTTTTGGGTTTAGATATCGATAAGAATTTAACATGGAAAACACACATAAAAATGGTAGTTGGTAAATTAAATACGGCTTGCTTTCAAATGTATGTTTTGAGAAATGTAATAGATTTAAAAACTAAACTCACAGTGTACTATGCAATGTTCTTTTCTGTCTTGCAATACGGGATTGAATTATGGGGAGCAACTTCTTATTCTAAAGCAGTTTTCAAAATTCAGAAGAAATTTATAAGGATTTTATCATTTATGCCTAAAAGAACCTCATGCAGAGCTTTATTTGCTAAATATGAGATATTAACTTTGCCTTCACTTTATATATTTAAAATGATGGTGAATTTTAAAATTAATTATCAAATGTACAATGATAAACAAATCAGTCATCCATATCATACACGCTCAAAAAATTTTCAATATCCAAGACATCGCCTTTGTTTATATGAAAGATCTCCTTATTATATGGGATTAAGGCTTTACAACAGTCTACCCACTAATTTTAAAGAAATTAACAGTATTTCAAAATTTAAAAATGAGTTCAAACGATACCTTTTACAGAAAAATTATTATAATATTTCTGATTATTTAAATGATAAGTAAATATATTTTAGTTTAAGCTATGTGGATTTTAGTTTTGTTATGTAACTTAGTGTTTAAGATCTCTGACAATATCACCTGTTTCACCAGCTAACGCTGGATCTGTGAAATGTTTTGTGATATTAAAGTAATATTTCATTTCAAGTGCGTACATCAGTTCCAGGAGTCTCCCCCCGGGACCGCACCTCGTACACCAGCTCCGGCTTCCTCAAATATTCCGGCACAATTGACGCCATACCGAGTCTCAACCAGCACTTGACTCAAAATAACAGCCAACAAAAATTTTTTCACAAAACAAACACAGAAATTTAATTCCTAAGGCTTCTGGACGTTGATGCCCACGCACCTGATGGGGCCCAAAAGAAGAACCTGCCCATTCATACCGCAAGAAAAAACAACAACAAATGACCCACGAATGTACACACACACAAACATACACCGATACATACACTAGACAACACCTAACACTTGTGTGATGGGGTGTACACACAAACCTTTTTTTTTTTTTTTTGAAAAATGACCATGCTTTTGACACTCTTGCTCCCGAAGGATGCAAGTCATTACCACCGATTCCACCCGGTGCCTCGGCCAAAGGGCGAGCTCCTAATAAAAAGTGTTTACGCCCCACCACAACACAACAAGGCCCTTTTCCAAAACTGCCAGGCCAGAACATTTCCAAGAAACCAATCCATCCACGGCTCTTAAAAAAAAACAGAACGTGGACAGTGATCGCATCTCTAAGTATCCGAGTCGTGAAACCAAATTTCACGACAAGGCACCCAGGACGCAACCAACTAACCACGCTCTGCTACCAGATGAACCATGCCCTCGAGCCTGCCCCCAGACTAACGAAATGGAAGCGTGATCCATGCGCAGGCCCGAGGAGCGGCTCACAAAACTTTACTTAACAAAATGAGAACCATGGATGGAGGTTCAAGAACAACACGCCATTTGAGAGAAACGAGCTGTAATTAACCATTAAAAAAATAAACAACAACAACATTAACAACAATACATGAAGTGAATACTCTCAATTAAACTTTAAATAAATTTAGATACCACTCTGACCTACTAACTTACAGACATTAATTTAGAAAAATTCAAAATAGGCTAATTTCAGTCAAAGTAAATTTAATCAGTTTTAACCTTAAAAAAATAAAATTTGTAAAATTGCAACAATGGATACATAAAAATCTCTTCCTTTAAATAACTGGTAACAATTTAACATTTAGGGGCCCCAAGAATTGAATTTATAGTAAAAAGTAATAAAATTTAAAATATCAACAAATAGGCTAATGAATTTAAAATTTAAAAGGAATAACAATAAATAGGCTTTAAATCTTGATATAAACATCTAAAAATTAATCAACAATAAATGACACTAAATAACAACAGTAGTAACTTGCGGTAACTGTCTAGGGCATCTCAGTCACTAGGTGGAGGGGCGATGAAACTGGGCAGAGAGGGGGCATCCCAAAGTCCAAAAGATTGGCCCCAAGTAGGAAAAGCTTCTCTGCTACCAGTAGAAGGTCCATCTCCTAGGCGAGCAGCACGGGAGGGGAAAACGAGCAGAACGGAGAGGTAGGCCATAATCCCAGAGACAGCAAGGCGAAACAAACTTCCTCTCCACCAAAATAGCTCGGGTCTGCTTCATGTCCTCCTCACAGGCCCCAAAAGGCGCGCGTGGCGCACTTGAACTACTCCATAACCTCGCAGACTAAGTACAAATTAAAAAACATAATTGACTTTGCATAAAACATGTGCCAAAAGGGCGATGTAAAACGATGGAAAAATGTCTGCGAGGTTAACTAGTTGATTGTCACGCAACCTCTGAAGTGCTTGGCGGTGGGAGTAAAAAGAACAAAAACCCACAGCCTTGTTCGGGGTCGTGGAGTGACAACGAAACACTGAACTAGCCTACTATAAAAAAAACACTTGAACCATTGATCATGAGTCGTGACATTCGCCCGGTGGAAATAGTCACGGCTCAATAGGTATAGGTAATAGGTAGGTAGTAGGTATAGGTATAGGTGCTTTTGAGTAATTTTTATTGTGTTAAGAAGTGGAAGTTTGGCTTGCGACCAATAATGTAGGGTAACAAAATAGTCCAGGAAAGCGTAGTTTCTTATGTGTGTCTCTTATGTTGGAGCTCACAGGGTTGAATAGTAAAATGAACTTCTTTCTAGTAACTTCCTCTTAGGAAATTTAACGGAACGCATCCTTTTATACGAATGGATTACTAAGCACTACCGTATGCTTAATTAATAAAACCTTTAACCTCATTTTCACCTATCCTTTGACGGATTCCTTCTTACCGTGAATGTGGTTTATTAGCGTGTCCTGCCACGTCGGGTCCGAGTAGGTGGAGAAAAAACACAACCCCTTGTCGGTTCAAACTGTCGTAAAGTACAACGTCATTCTTGGCTGTCTTTAGAAACTCTTCAAATTTATCAAAAACCCATGTGTTTAGTCTTGTGGAGCCTTGTCCGGAGAAGTTCTCATCTTCTGCGTCATAGCACAAAATGTGCACCTTATTGGCTGCAGCGCCTGTTAACAAAAGCACAAGTATGATAAGCCTACAACTTTTGAAATAGTAAATGACAATTTTTGAGGAATACTAACGTTTGAAAACTGAATTGGCAAGCATTCTTGACAAATGTAGCCTACATTAGGTTTGTACTCCAACATAAATGTGATATACTTTCAAAATTGTTTATTGCTAGCTTAGATGAAAAGGTCTTGGACTTTAATGCGAGAAGGACGGGTTGTCAGCACATCCACAACACATATGGGTTTTACCCACTCGACCTTTAAGCATAAATGCTCTCAACACTTGATTTACCAATAGTGGTGGAAAATGTCCCCAGTCAAGAATCTGTTTAAAATTCTACTTATTATAAGTTAGTTCTAAGTTTTAGGTTTATTTTTAAAAAATCTAGTATGTTAAAACTAGAAAAAAGTCTGTTTTATGATACTTGAAGAGGGGATAAGATTTTCTCTAAATGTCTAAAAACTTGTGTTTTAGACTACTTTTAGTGGTGAAAATGTCAACAGTAATATTTTGAACAAAATTTAAACTCAAAATCATCAACAATAAAGTTAGATCAAAGTACATTTATTACCTTTTTTGAACATGGGCAAGATATCTGGACTACCCCAAGAATATGTGACATAACTTCGGTTGAATACTGAATCAAACTCAATCAGATTGTCCTTCCATCCCTGAAATATATGAAAACAATTAATTGAGTCTATATTTTAAACGACATTGGTACAATTACAATTGTACAATTATGATAGCCTACTAGTTAAAATAACTTAAGCATTTAATTCACTCAATCTTCAATTGTTCACTGCAAAACAAGAAAATTGATCAATGACAATCACTGATTAGTACCCTAATGAGTTAATAAATCCACAAGATTATACCTAGGTTCCAAGATCAAATACCGGTATTCTTTTGTTAATAGTTTCAGGCATTTAAATATAGGTATCTAGATTTCCTAATTCTAAGCCCTTTTATGAAGCATAGTGCAATATGATGATCCTTTAGCCCATTAGTTTGAACGACTTGCCTTCATCCTATATTGGTCAGGTGGCAATCTATAGTACCCCCAGTCTTTCCACCACAGTTCCGATAAATTCTTCATTGGTTGTCCTTGCCGCTCAGATGCAGGTAAAAAAAATTCAAACACAAGAAAGAAAAATACCACTGACAACGTTGGCCGAAAAATGTAGTTGTTTTAATGTCTACTGCAACTTAGAAACTAAAACGGCATTTTGAGCTGGAGCAAAGAAGCTGTCATGATGGCTGACCGATTAAAAAGCAGCAGAGTTTGCTATTTTTGAAACAATGTAGCCTGTACAGTCTATCCCAGCGTTAATAACATTTTTTTAATATAGGCTAGGCCTACGTTTGGTATTTTTTAAGTAGGCTAAACCAACTAATTTTAAGTCTTGACGTTATAAGACAAATTAATTTAGTAGCCTACCGTAAAAACAGCGGAGGGATCCTCATAGAACCCTGCTATTAAAGCAATATGCCCCGGCCTAGATTCGGTTGGAACTCTAGAATGAGCCACTCCCCATGATCCTCGGGACTCAATGATCGATCTGAAACCAAACAAGACTTTAGTTTTCAGTGAGGGTATAAAATCACATGTGATTTTAGTGATAGTAAGTTTACACAAGATAGGCTAGTGTAAACTTACTGTAAGCAGTCAAGACAATCAAAGATTCAGCAAGTATCATCTCAACTAAATGTGTAAGAGCGACAAAAATTCCATTTGCTGACATAATCAAGATGTTTGCTGCTAATTATCAAGTAAAAATCAAATATAATAACTTTTAAGCTTATTGAGGAACTTTGTGTATTTAAGGGCTGTATCATAGATTAAGTATACTCCCTAAGGGAGTAGGCCTATGCTTTATCTACATGACTGTATGTTCACGGTAGTTTAATAACTAAATATTAAAGAATTGGTTTTTTTGTTCTTATACAAAATGTACTTAGGTACAGGTTTAAGAATTAGGCTACATAATAATATACCAATTTTTTTTTTTTTATTTATTACATATTTAATAACGTAATCCTATAAAATGATCACTAAACCTTTGGGCCATTTTTTTTTTTAAGTTTGTGTGCCTCGTGTTAAGACTGCCTTGTAAAGTGACATTGGCACTTAGAAAAAACCCACAGTTGCATGGTGAAAGGACGGCTAGGACTTGCCCCTCTAGTAAAATGTGTAGCTGCTTTAATTTTGTTACCATGACTTTTATGTGATTCTAGCCCCTCAAACATCTAGACAACTTAAACCCAGATAACCCTTGATATAAAACTTGGTTCCTTGAGGGCTTTAAAGATAAGGTTTACGTACACTGTAATGGTTGCCGAAGTGCCACATAGGCTACTGTGATTCTGTTTATCGCTAAGTAAAAGAAAGTAGACTACAGCCCTTGTGCTGGATTGAGTTACTAGAATTAAATTTACTGTGTTAAAGATGTACGTAGAATACACCTGGTTCTTTCAAAATGTGTGTATTGCTGTAGAATAGCAGCGGGTAGGCTTCTGTATCTGTTGGCACAAACAACCGAATTAAAATATTGATCGATATATCGAATGACACAATCAAATAATCAATATTTTCATTCAGTTGTTTGTGCCAACAGATATGGATGTCTACCCATAGCAGCAAGAGATCTGACTGTTTGTTATACCTGATGTAGGGTGATGGGTACTCATTATTGCCTTTGGAGAAGAGAGAATCTGCCCTTAATCCATCGGCAACAAAAAGAACAACACGTTTGGCAGGTGGATTGACTATTCCTTGTTGAACTTGAATATTATGCACAATTGGAGACTTGAAGTATATATCGAATACCGAAAGTAAAAACACAATATGAAGAGAAAATCCGAATAGTATTACTTTCATTTCACGTCATGAAGCAGCCCAGCTTTATGTTATTTCTGAAGTAAGAAGAGGTTATAATAGTATTCTTGAACCTTCTACTAACTTGTTACTGTGAACAAATTTAAATAGATGAATAAACATAATGATTTATTTTACAAAAATATAACTGATCCTCCTTTGTTAAATAGTTAACACTATATTATTCATTCAACAAAACGTTAATATTTAACTTTTCAATGTTTGACAATGAATTAGAAATTATGAAGGAAGAGCATTGCATTGCAGTAGACACCACTTCGCTCACTGCACAGCTGTTGAGAAACTATTTCTGCTGTAGGCCTGCCAAATTTTGTTATCATGTAACTCTTAAAAACTAAAGAGGCTGAAATTCACATAGACTATTGATTATAAGATATGTATATGCTCTTTGTTTTGGCTGTGTCTAATTCATTTTTATTTCCATAGATGAATAAATATAATTTCGTTTTATTTCAACTAACACAAATTATATGCTGGTATTTTATAATGAGCTAACCATGTTTTTATTTTACCTATTGAAAAGTTTATTTTGGATATTTTTTTTTGTCTTACACCGGTGTCATTTTGTAGAGTAGGAAGTACTTAAACGCTTTTGGGGAAAGCGGTCCAAGCCCATAAGTTATGTGTATTATCTGTGAACTTATGAATACAATTTATGTTTTAGGCAAAAACACTGGGAAACTTCAAAAACATACATGACACCCTCTTCAACGGACATGTGTGGCAGAGTTCAGGGGGGTTCTATTGGCATTGGCTGTAAAAAGTAGCTTCCATAATGAAATTCAAGGCACATAAGAAAACGATCTTTAAAATAAATACTTAAGATCAAAATGCGCTCTAATATGTAAGAGTGGTAATGAACTATTTGGAAAGGTTTGTCAACATATACTGCCATTATGTAATTGCACATGTTTGTTGATTTGAACCAATAGATCCACCAAATTCAGATCCTAACGAATATGTTCTCACAAAGTCAGGATAGTGTAGAGCTCTTACAAAATTGCATTTGAACATCTCATACTAGTAAAAACGTAAACCTGGGGAGTAGATTTTTTGCATTTCTTTAATAGTTATGTATTGTGTAAATCAAAATTTTGATAGCTGAGCTAGAGATAGATAGGAAATATGTACTATATTAAATGAATCGTTTATATACTCCCATAATGCAATCTATGGACCTTATCTTACTTGTGGTTCTACAGAAGACAGTTATATATTGTGTAAACTATTTACATTTAAACAATTTATATGGATTGAATCACTAGCTGGTATTTATTAGTTGTATGCATTAACTTGGTTTATTTTCTGCAATTATATAGTATAGTTAAGAGTTGTAACTATTTATATTCGACGTGTGGCAACACTGCAACTTGTCCGGCAAAGTAAACTGTTATCAAGGTCATTTGATGCCTGGGGTTATGGAGGTTGCTGATCAATGATGTCATAATGACATCATCTGAAAGCAAAATAAACATTAATAAAATAAAGTGTTTCTTGGATAAATTGGGACTAACAACTATTTAATTAAATATTATAAAAATAAAATTTCATTCCTAGACAATTCTTTCCCTTTTAGACATGTATTCCTTTTCAGATTATCAAGAAAAGTTCTTCTGCAAGGTTACAGACGGCCCGCTCTATCTGTGACGTCAAAGGAAGTATTTAACATTTTGTTGCTTGTTGGTGGCTGTGTGGTGATTTTGGAATATTTCTGATCAGGTATATTAATTTTACTGCATTATTTTACATGTTATGGAAATTTGTGTAGTTTACTGTGCTTATTATGCATTAGATCATGCAAAATAGTCATACTATTGATTCAGAAAGGGACAGCAACTATAACCTTAGTCTGAAGTTTTAACAAGCTCAACATTTCTGTTTGTTACAATCAATACCATAACTAACTGTTCTTTTGAAATATCCCTTATCAATTCAATTGGTATATAATACATATGTATTAAAGAGGGGAATATTATCGTTTAAATTTAATTTACTGTGATATACAATGTTACTATCAGCTATCAACTCTGTTATCTTGTCAACAACTAGGGCCTAACTTAACATTCAGGTAATTTGATTCAGTTCGAATTAGGACTGGTTCGATTCAATTTTTCTATAGGGTAACAGCCATCAGTTTTATTCGTCCAATTTCATGTTGGGGCAAAAGAATTTTAGGTTATAGGCCAGACTAGGATTTTGATCATAATTTATTAGACTTGACCTTAGACCATAGGACCTTGATCTTGAATCCTCCAGTTGTTTACACCTTCCAAGGATTAAGTTTTATTTGGGAAAAACAAATCAGGCAAATGAAATTTACATAGTCTGCAGGTTTGGTGCGGTGGGAGTAACTTATTTATAAGTGTCACCTTGTTTGTTATCATCAAAAACTATAAACTTATGTAAGTTAAATTTTTCCAAACTGAACAAAACTACGCCAAACTAACTGCAGCAGAACAGTGTGAAAGAATCTTCTTGAAAGACCTCCTATTGTGAAAATGCTTAAATATTCAATAGGCTATTTAATCGATCAATATTGCCCACTGAAAACTAAGCTAAGTTATTACCGAACTAATATTTCACCCATTTATATTGTAGGTTGTCTGTTGGATTGAACCCAACTTATTTCCTTGCATTTTTTATATAAATTATCGGCGAGATTTCTGTAGAACAAAATCAAACAAACAATTTGGGTCTTCCAATCAAACAAATAGAATTTTTGTGTTTACCTAGCTATGCTGATGCTGAGGCTAAATGGTTTGGAACTCACCTCATGTAAAACAAGTGCCCTAACCTATATTATACAAGTGCCCCCTAGACCTATATTAAAAGCAAACAAGGAACGTCTCTCAGGTATGATGACCTAACCGTACTTTTTATACGTAAGTTACCTTAATTTTGGTTGCTGACCGAGTTGATGGGTCATAACAGTTACTATTTTTAGCTCACAATAAGTTATTCTATAAGTTTTGTTGGGTAAAAAAGTTGGTATAACTTATTCAACGGAAATTACTGAAGTAATTTAGATAAGCACAATCTGTCGGTGGCTCACATCAACTACGAGACAGGCGACAACATTAACATGGGGATGGAATGTCTAGTTTTATCATTATGGTAGTCAAAGCTAATACTTAACAATAGATCTGCCTCCATCAGTGTGTGTAGATCTACTACGTCTTACCATGAAGACCGGTAATAGGGAGATTCAAGAATATTTCCTAAAAATGTGCATAACTTAATTTTATCCTTTCTAAGATGACAGCTTTTCTTTTTACTAAATGGTGATATTGAATTAGAATTCCCCTACTTTGTGTGGGTCGCCGGAATTTTACCCCCTGGGCAAAGCTGACGTCACTATGACGTACGGTAGTAACCTGCGTGGCCAAAAGTTTGTTCGCGGCCGGAATTTTACCCCCGCGGATTTGGAAGTCTAATGAAAATAGCCAGAGTGTGATTAATTAGATTAGCGATAAAACCCGGAATTTTACCCCCTGTCCATATAACTAGCGTTTAGACAACTGAAGATGTACGGGCCGGATTTTTACCCCCGTATTTTTACCCCCCGGAATTTTACCCCCCTGGCCGATTTTAGAAATTGAATGATTGATTTTCTTATTTCTGTTTATTTCATTACATAACTGTAAACAATAAACATTTCATTATTTAGTAGTCTAGGCTATCTTTATTTTTTTATTTTGTAATCTCAACTAAGTAAACAGAATTCGCTGTTAAATTTTGATGTTCGGGATTTGCGTTTGGGGCCAACTGTTGGTTAATAAGAATATAAAATAAACTGAGTAGCTCATTTAAAATGATAATTGGGTGAACCTTTCTTTGTAAAGAAACAATAAGGCATATTTTGTTATTGTTACAATTCAAACGAAAAACATTGTCTTACCACGGTTGTATATAATAAATCGTTAAAGAAATCTTCGAATCAATTACCATTCTGATGTTTGTTTATATGTCATAATTTAACAGTTGGCTTCAAAGATCGAATCCTGATAGGCCTACTCGAATCTCAAAATTAAAATCAAAAACCTGTTCGATTAGTTGACGTTACAAATAAATTAAGTTAGACTACTTAATAATAAAATGTTTACTAGCTATTAAATTAAAACAGAATGAATATAATTAATCATTCTCACTAATTTACATATCTGGCCAGGGGGTAAAATTCCGGGGGTAAAAATCTGGGCCGTACACTCTAGGTTTTTATAATTTAATGTGTTCTGATTAAATTCACAACCGTGAAAATATATGTTTAATTTCGCGTTTAATCAATCAAGCTGATGTCGCGAAACTCAAAAGTTCGAGGCCGGAATTTTACTCCCGGCTGGTTTGTGACGTCACGTTTACCCAGGGGGTTTTAAAATTCCAGGGGGGTAAAAATCTGCTATCCCCTTTATGCATTGATAGTTTGGCTGGGATAGGGTGAACAAGCAAAAGAGTGTGTTTTAAGTTAGGCCTACCTACCTATAGGTATAATGTTAAAAGCGTACTATGCCCAAGATAAGAAACCTTTTAGAATGAGGTTCGGCTAATCTAAGTTAATACATTATTTAAAAAAAAGGATTTTCTTGCTTTGAGATGTATAGTTGAAACATTTATTGAAAGTTCTTCTTGACCCTAAGTGATAGCTTAGAAACATTCCTGTAAGAGCAATGATGCAAGTAGCCTACATTGAGCGGCGCCCCCCGCTGTACATGTAGATGGCGCCCCCTCCCCCACCAAAATATCACCACTTATATTTTATTTGTTTATCTCAGCAAAATACATGATTGCATAAAAGCCAAAAACTTTTTTACTGTCAGATACATTGTCATCATTTTCCGTAATCGCAGCCAAATCTTAAATACCGTATATGATGCGTTCATGTAGACATGATCATTGTCTCCCGCAGTTACGGAAACGTCACCTTTTCCCACAATAGTGCAAAAATCTTGGATATCTTCTCCGATCTTGTAGACATCTGACATCATTATCGTCTCCCGCGGTCACAGAAATGGTAATATATTTTTCTGTGATTGCAACATAATATTGAATATCTTCGCTCCTGGAGATATCATCATCGTCTCCCACGGTCACGGACACAATGTACCTAACCTTTTTTCGCGATTGGGGTGATCGGTGACAGTCGGACCTCGGCCCCCCCATCCCCACCTGTGGGGGTTGGGGTGTTATT